GTTCGACAACTAACACATTATCAGTTAATAGTTATTTATTTTGGCTAACAAATCTTTCCTTTTTTGATGCAGAAAACATGCACTCGACGCTTTAATCAAATGTCAATATGTATTGAAGGTGTAGAATCTGTTACTGTTCTAACTAGTGGTTTGTTTTAAAACTCGACGATAGCTCAACTATGTGCAATTTACTTTAGTTTCATCTTCGTAATCTATTCTCTTTAGACAGGTTATGAAAAGCTCAAGAACGAATAATATTGATGAATACTTGTTTTTTCTAATCTGGTTTCTATTGATGGCGCAGTTTTTTTTCATTTCTTCATGTTCCATATTTTTTCAATTATTGAACCAAGTATGATTTATTTCTCTTGTAATCTTGCATCATTTTATAATGAATATGCAGCATGTTCAGATCTTTATTCGAAATATAAACAACAATCAACACCATTTGTTTTTGAAAAATGATTTCATGTACATGTTAAAAGTTCTACTAAATCGCCTTTTTTTTTTTTTTTTTTTATAAATTCGAATATTTTAATTTTTTTGCTATTTGATTATATTTAATAAAATGATTAATGAGAATAAAGATGGTCGACTAATGAAAATGATCTGTAGTCTTTTTTTGTCTCGGAGGAGAATTGTGCAGGATGTGCACTGCTAATAGATAGTTAATATTGTTATTTCCAGTGCCTTGACACATTGCCATTGATCTAAATAAAAAGAAAAACATATACTGTTAAATGGAGTAGCAAACAACTTACAGTATATCTATGCACGACCGCTCAACGAAATAGACATTGCTCTCTCGTTCTCCTATCAAAGAAAATGGCACCATAAGCAGCATACACGAAGTAAAATAATCGTTGTTGTCAAATTATCATCGAAACTGACAGTTCGAATGATCGATTGCTGTTTTATCAAGATTTTTTTTGATAATTTTTCTACTAAACTAATATTTGCTGTTTTCAAAAGATTAATTGCTACCAGGGATGCCACCTCGTCAAGCCAGAAAAGCGGAAAGCACAGCGAGAAAAAGCGGAAACAAAAAATAAAAAAAACGGAAAAATTGCGGAAATCTGTTTTCTGTGGAATTATCACATTCCTGTGGGTTTCAACAACTTTTTACTTCTCTTCATGATTCTTCGTTATTCGCCAAGCTCGAAAGAACAATAAATGACGCATAAAAAAGATGAATATTTTATTAAGCACATCATTTTTTCACTGCAGTTACATTTACTATTTCAATGGGTTTCGGTTTGAAACTATTTTTGAGACAGTAGCTGGGTATACATGTCCGTGTGACATTGAAGTATTTCAACGAATCTGTATATCTGCAGCGAGTGAATCAACTGATATTCGATTGCGGAAATGATTGGATATGTATTGTTTCCGAAAAAACACTTTCGGTCATAGCGTTGTTGTCCGGAATGGAACACAGAATGAATCATATGGACAACAATAGACTGCTAACAAGAGACCTGCATCGGAGTCAGTTTCGGAATCAACTAAATTTCTTGACAATAACTAATTTTTAACACTAGAACTTTTGCACGCTTTAAATTTTATTATTCAATGGGTTTTCTACAAACTGATATACTTTGAAGGCTCAATCAACGACATATCGAGGTCTATGGACACGAAAAGAAAATCGGAGTGGAAAAATTCGAAGTCGAAGTTGGTTCAGACTTTCTTTACGTGTTCACAGGTCCCGATGTGATGTTGATTGGGCCTTCAATCTGCATCAGTTTGTAGAAAACTTATTAAAGAACAAAATCTACAATGTAAGAAAATTTTGATTTTATAAAAGGATTATCGGCAAGAAATTTAGTTCACTTCGAAACGACTTCGACGTTGATTCTGATGCAAATTTCTACAGCTAACATAATCTATGTCATAGTGACGGATTTTATTGTCTCAAATTTTTCAGTAAAAAATAAGCTAAAGTTCTTTATATGCAAAAGTGGCAACTTGCTGAACAGCGGAAAAAAATCGGAACTTTTCCGCAGAAAGCGGAAGAGGTGGCAACCCTGACTCTTACTCAACAAAGTCGATTGTAATATGTCAAAATATATTTTGCCAGATGCCACTATACTTTTTCTATTGACGAAGCCTACTAACTAATAGCTATGTTTGTGGCGGTGTCTTTTTAATATTCTCTGAAAATTTTTTCTCTACTATGAGGTTTATTTCATGAACTTGTGGGTTCTTCTGCAGTTTATTCACACCTTTACACTGATTGGTACACTGAACGCAGCAACCAATGGGAAGGTGAGTGCGAGAGTGTGACTAATCTGCAGTAGTACCTCGTAAAATTCTTATTTATGACGGTAAAATTGAAAAAACCCTGTTCTAAGTTTTCCAGTTTGCCGTGAACATACAAGTTTGCTACTATTTCAACTTCTAAATGTTATGGTGAAGGGTTTACCAAAGATGTGCACGACGAAACTAGCGTGCAGATCGAGATATTAGCGTTTCAAAAACAAACAGACTCTGTCGACTGCATCAGCACTCACACTCAAATCTGTGCCATCATTCTCGTGTCACATGATCACGTAGTGCTTAACCATCGTGCGCAAATTTTGTCGTGTGCCTTTTTCGAGATACCATGATGAAAGGTTTCTTTTTAATTGCGTTGAATCTGGTCTTTTCAAGAAAGGCGGATCCATTAAAATGTCAAGAATTAGAAAAGCATAAAAAGCATTCATGCCATGCTAAGATATTTACTGAAACTAAAAATCTGTCGCTATTTAGATGCTATTCAATTATTATTTCGAACAACAGTGCATTTAACCATCACTTCTCGTACATATATATGAAGTTCATCTAGTCTAAGGATGTTACATTTGCAGACCAGGACAACCCTGCAAGGGTTTCTGTTTTTTTTTCGATGCTTCAAACAGTATGACCACGCTTGTGATACTGGTTGCGGCAGCATTTCGATGAAAATCTTTGATAGGTTACTACACATGTTTACATATTAATCGAAGCTTTACATGTAATTGAACAAATGTATGTGTTACTTGAAATGTGTAAATGGAAGATGCAAAAACTAATTCAAGATTCACTAGAAATCAAAAAGAAGTCTCGTCTTTTATTGATCTGTCTTTTAAAAATATTTTAAAAAGTTTCTTAATTGCTTGATGTAATTCAAAATAGATTATTGTTAAGTATGAAACAACTGCATCTAATCATTATTTAGTTGTTTTGTTACTGGAACCGTTTCTAGAAAACAATGAATCTTCGATGAAAAATACCGTTCACTAGTTATCACGTCATATACCGTTAAAGAAAAGAAAAGATAATTTGAGCTGAATTTGCTCCAAAGCTTCGAATAGATAAATCTCATCATCAGTGACCTGAAAAAATCATCTTTTTATACATATTCACTTTGAGTTTTCTTTGTATGGCATCGCTGTGCTTGTTTGTTTTACTCTGAACAGCTAATCACAGCTGAACAAAAAAAAACATGTAGCGAATAAATATTATTTGAGTCACTTTCTTTTCATGTTTTCAAAGCATGAAATTTAATGATAATTATGTTCTTATCGTTTCTTTAAATTCATTTGTGTGAATAAATTTAGGTAATTGATGAAGAACAATATCATTATGAAAAAAGTTTTTTGAATTCATTTGTTTACTACTTTTACGTCGATAAAATGATTTATATTTTTCAGGTGCTCGATTTGGTTGCATATAAAATAAGATCATCCAAATGCAGGAAATTAATACAATTAGTATAAATGTAATGATAAATAATATGAATGGAACTATGAGAAATCTGAATGACATCATTTACAGATAAATTTTTTCGAAGAAAATGCGCCACTATTCTTCACAATACAATAATAATATGAAAAATTTTATACAAAAAATAAACTACATTTACTTTTCCTTTAATTGAAACCTCATCGTACGACACTTTTTCAAAAACATGACAGAGTTTATTTACAAAGCAGTGATATTAATATAATAATAATAAAAAACTATAAGACTGTTGAAATCATTTCTTTTTGTTATCTGACCTCCATGACATGTTTGCAGTTTTTTCATTGTCATATCTTTGCATTTTACTTTCATCCTGATAAAAAGATAGGCGTTTTATATAATTGACAAAGGCCGCAACGAAACATATCAGTCGTTGTTGAAACACTTATATTTCGAAAGAGACTTTAGTGGTTATAAAAAAAAATGTTTTTAAAATTTATTCTGTCATCATGCATTCTTTCTTTCATCTTATTGGCATCTGTGAATGCTAATCTTCGAAGCACGTTAGTACCAACTTTATCTAACAATTCTCTTTTATATGATTGATTTTCATAGTGTCTATGGATTAGTTGAAGCTCGAAGTGGCGTTAAATCAAATTGCACTTTATGGACATCATATTTTGCAGCTAACGGTATGGTTCGTTCACCTGTTGGAGCGACGCCCATTATTGGTTACGATGCTATTTTAAAACATTGTAACGCATGGAATCAAAATCTTGGCCCTCAAGGAAATGGATGGTATCCTATGGAATTATGGTCAAGCGACAATGAAGTATGTTTGTCATTCATTGATATTAAATTACTTTACAATCTAATGTTTCTTATTTTTTCCAAGGTTGCTTTTGCAGCTACAATAAGAGCAGTAAACAGAGGTGGTTGTCAAGTTAATTTACGAGGTATTATTGTGATCAAATTTGATATGAATGTAAGTTATACAAAAAGAATAAATTTGATGGATTTCAAATGGGTCGACAAATATCTTTTTTTCTTCTTCTTTGTTTTAGTTAGATGTTACTGAATGGAATCATTATTATGATTCTGATTTTGTTATGCCACAACTTCAGGGTAAATGCCAATATCAATAGATTACAAAACAGTACTGATGATCAACAATTATTAGAAACAAAAGAACAAGAAATTTTGCATCAAAAAGAAAAAAAAATTTCCTTTTTTCTTTTCATTTGATGTATTATTATTTTTTTTATTAAGTTAGCCCAAATATAGATCAAACTTTTTCAAAATTCATTATTACCCTTGTCTTCTTCTTTTTGTTTAAGGTTTAACTTTAGAAACGATTGTAATTGACGTAAATGTGTTTTATATGTACCACTATCGTCATCATTGTTAAAATTAAGAAGTGGATCTTGATGATTGTTATCAGTTGGTATTGTAGTAGAATATGATTCTAAATTTAAACAAATATATATCTTTATATATGTTGTATTTTAAAAAGAACCAAACCTATAGTAGGATTTAATAGTAGTGCATAAGATGCATATCGACCACCGTGCAATCACCAACTATTAAATGTCCATCGTTTGTTGCGCATTGACATTGATTGCATGGGCATTATGGTCATCGTGATCAGTGCCATTAAAGTAATCATAGTTATTATTGTTGAAGAATTCATCGGAAAATCAGAGCATGTGTGGTATCTAAAAGAAACAGATGAATTTTATTTCTATGAAAACTATATTATATATAGAGAGAAAACAATGAAATAAATGTGTTTAGTTAAATCATATGAAAGTAGACAGCATGAAGTCAGATTTTTTGTTTTTGTGCTTGACATCATCCTTTCTCGATGAATTAGTGCTTTAGGGCTCACATACACGGTTGTGAAAATAGGAAATATAATAGATAGGTAGGTTAAAATTAATATGCATGAATACAATTTGTTGCCAAAATGGCTTAATATATGTTAATCAACACCAAAATTTTGATAAGCCCGACTGTTACTTTTGACATCCTGTTAGTGCGATGATAAAAAGAAAGATGACAAACTTTGTTCTAACTATCATTGACTGATAAGCTATTGAGGAATTGACGCCTTTTTTTTCTATAATTTAGTGTGATAACAACCTGCATCTTCCTCCTTTCTCTTTTTTCTAGAAACTTTCTTAGTTAAACCTAATAAGCCTAATGATGATATCCAGTTAAACGTAGGTATTGTTGTGTAAACGGTAATTGAGGACTTATATCAAAATCACAAAAACTATAATTCATGTTTGCTATTATAAACGTAAAAAAAATTCATGTACACATTAGCACCATCGTGCGTTGCTTTTGTTCATAGAAGGAAGAAAATCAAGACATTTTGTAGAGATTAGAGAAAAATAGAGGTTCGAGCGAGGTTTTGATGGTTGCTATTCATTAATAAAAAAATTCGTTTTACTGATGCTGATGTCGCACTAGAAAGCAATGGCAAAAGACCGTCTATTAAATGTTACACGTTTAAATGCATTTTCTTGTATTGAATTAGATGATGCACTATTGATTACAGCTCCTGCTTGGTTATTGATTGAGAAAGGCTCAACTGTTGAGAACTCATCTGAAGTTGGACTGTCATGAGGCTCATCTATTAGAAGTTCATTTGTTGTGTCATCATCAGTTGATCCAAGTAACAGACATAAGAACAAGTATCTAGCAAACGTATAACTACAGTGATTCATGAAATACGAACATCAAAATCTGTTGAGTGAATAGATGCTGTTTCTTTTGACAACATGTTGAACATGTCACAATTCACCATAGAAATTTTGGTTCTGGCACAATTAATGTGTTTATCACATTTGTGTTTTTACTGGTTAAAGAAAAGATGCTAGAACAAACTCAAAAATTTATTTTATTTTAGATGATAAAGAAAGTCGATCAGAAGTTAACACTAGTTACTACCACAGTTGCAAATGAACACATCATTACATGGAAGCATATTATAGACAAAAAGATGTTTGTTATGATACGGTTAAGTTGTATATATATATAAATACTTGAATAGTAAAGAGCCACGTTTTTGGATTTCTATCCAGATCAATCAAAACGGCTGTCCGTATTTTCACTGTAAATTCGCTTCATACGACACCGTAAACGGACCATGTTTTCTCGTCATCTGGGGCACAGTAATATTAACGAGTTACGACATTTAACAGTCAGATTTTATACTTCATCATTTGTATCTTCTGATAATATTAAAACAGCTTGAACAATTCGATGTTCACCATCATCATCCAACATAAACAATTTTTCTTGTAAGTCATTCATTAAATCTAATGTTCCAATAAAACGAAAATCTTCATCACTTGATGACATGTTTTCTAAATATAAAAATTAAAATTTATAAAAAAAAAATAAATTTCATAACAAAAATATCCAAATACAAGAATTGATGTTTCTTTATTTTGGCTTAACTCATGTATATCATCCTTATTACCATGATATGTTAAATAAAAATAATTTTTTTTGTGCGGGCCATTCACCAGAAATTGTATCAATTTGTTTAATAAATGGTCGAATAACAAATTGTTGATGTGATGCACGAATTTCATCTTCTGTACTATCACAATATATACTAATTTGTTTATCAGAAAAACCTAAACGATTTGCTTCAAGTAAAAGTGATTCGTTTTGAATAATGGATGAAATAAAATGATGAACAACAAATTCAATAATTGATTGAAATTGATGAAGAAACCCCGGTCGAAGAATACGATCCGTAAACGGCCGTATATGATAGAAATATGACATGTAAAACGGGCTGTATTTCACTCAAATAACACGGGCAGTAATACGGCCGTATATTATATAGAATACGATAATATTACGCTATCTTTACGAGATTATACGACGAAAATACGGGCTCCGTATACGATCGTAATACTGATCATGTTAACACGCCTTAATACGACTTAAAAACGGTCGTTTACGATAAAGTTACGGTGATCCGTATCCATCGACCTGAGAACCATCGATCAATTTTGGTTAATTCAAATAAACGTTCAATTGTATAACCTTGATGAAGAGCTGTTGCTAATAGAAAAATACGTTCATTGGTTGGAGTACTTAATTCCTATAATAAAATACAATAAAAAACAATTCAAGATAATCTTTAATTAATATTACATCATCTGTTATTGTTCTTGAATACGGATTAAAAGCAATTACATCTTTATCAATCATTCTTAAAGCTTGTTGGAAAAGCTTCTTCAAATGATCTACCAATAGACATAACTTCATCAATACTTTCTACTAATTAAAATAAAATAAATAAATAAATAAATAAATATCTTCAATAGTTAATATCATCACTTATTAGAACTTTCAATTTCATTTGAACATCGAAGAAATTTTCTTAAATCTAATTTTGGAACTTTCATTACAATATAATCAAGACTTGGTTTAAAACAAGCTGATGTTTCATTTGTGATACTATTGTTTAAATCAATTAAGCTCATTCCAATTGCAAGTTCAGCTGTTATATATGCTAATGAATAACCAGTTGCTTTTGATGTCAATGCAGATAAACGAGATAATTGTGCATTTACTCGCATTCTATAATATTCACTAGATAATGGCTTTAATGCAAATTGTACATTACAGGCACCAATAATACTCAAATGACGAACAACTTCAATTAATACACTGCGTAATAAACTATATTCATCATTTGATAATGTTTGACTTGCTACAACAACAATTGATTCACCAGTATGAAGTGCTAATGGATCAGTATTTTCCATGTTACATATCTTGATAAATAGAAAAAAAAAACAAGAAAAATACAATTGAATATCGATTGCAGATGAATCATATGAAACATATCACAATACAATTATCATATTGATCTCGAACAACTTCATATTGAACTTTTTTTCCAACCTTTAACTGATTTATCAATGAATAATTGAGATGAATTAATTATGCTGAATTAACTAAAGAAATTAATTCTTCACGGTTATTGGCATAACTGGATCTACGATCATCAAGTGAAACAACATCACTAGATAGAACAACTATTCAAGAGAAGTATTCAGAATATCTACATACTATCGAGCAAGAACTGGATAACCAAATCGTTCAGCTGATTGCAATGCCTAAAATAGATCATCAGAGATAATATTTCAAATCTTTTTTAATCAAACCTCTTCAAGAGAATTAACAACTTTATATGGTACAACTTTTTCTCCAATATCAGCCATTTGTTGTGTAGATAAAGATCGATCTTGAGTGGTTTGAATTGATTTAATCGGTATTCTAATTATATTACAATTAGAAAAATAGAATCCAAATATGAAACCATTTCACTCACCCTAATATATTACATGAATATTTTTGAAGAATGACCGATTTATGTAATTCAACACTTCAGTTTAATGCTGTTTGTCCACCACAACTAAGGAAAATACCACCAGGACGTTCATTTCAAATAATTTGTGTCACAGAAGTTTCTGTTATTGATATCACAAATATTTTATTCGAACCATCGTTTTTTCTGATGTTAAATGTAGACCGGTATTTGAATTTATTACAACAATAGCAATATTGCGTGCTTTAATTGTTTCAGTTGCTTGCATTGCTTTAAAATGAAAACTAATAAAAACAATATAGAAAAATCTAATTCATTTACCAGCATCATAGTAACCTTCTGCTTTTCCAAATGTTAAACTATCGTCAGAAAACAGAAAGAATGAAAGGATGAATAATTTCAGTTGAAAAGAGATTTAGATAGCATATGTCTTTCGAACAATTTAGAAAAGTAGCTATTTTATACGCCACAAGAGGTTTTCTTTTGTTATCTGCACTATCCAGGTCGATCATTCGGACCGTCGGAAACGACGTCTTATCTGGTCAGAAACGGCTATAAAACGGTGAATTAGTGCCTTGATTTTGGCCTTATTTCGCCTTAATCCGTCATACGGTTTTTCGAGCCGTTTTTATCGCTAGAAAACGACCATCGTTTTTCCCCGGTTTTGCTTCCATAATCTGGTATGACAAATTATGGCGTCGTTTTTCGACGTTTTTCAACGTTTTACATCGTTATTACGCCGTTTAAGGCAGTTTACGACGCCGTTTTATTGGATCTGAGTAAGTAAATCAGGAATAGGATAGGCAAGCGACCATTAAAAATTCAACTCGATTATACAAAGAACAAATGTATATATATATATATATATATATTTCAAGACACTGACCAACAAACATCAAATAGATTTATATCTTCATGTATAATCCAAAGTTTAATTTGCAGTCTTTACCGTTGCGCTACATAAAATAGAGATTCTTTCATTTTCGAAATGTTCAACGAGACATTGTTGACTCTTTTCTTAGAAAACATGAATGGCTCATGAAATAAAGAAATAATTGAAAATTTTGTGTCAAAACTTGCAGTGGCAGTGTGCTTCTGTAAGTCTAATGAATAATTTAGAACTAAATATAATAATTCTTCATGCTTATACAGCATATTGCATATTTTCTTATTTATTAAATTTTTGAAATGGAGTGCGATTCCTTCGTCGCACTCCCTAAATCTGCCACTGATAAAAAGTAATTAAAGACTTATATAAAATTCACAAAAAATATAATTTATGCTTGCTATATTATAAAAGTAAAACAAGTTCATTTGCACAGTAGCACCATCTTACATTTTTTTTTGTTCATATAGCAGGAAGACAATCAAGACATTTTGTAGAGATTAGAAAAAAAAAGAGGTTCGAGCGAGGTTTGAACTCGCGACCTTCTGCGTGTAAAGCAGACGTGATAACCGCTACACCATCGAACCGACAGTACCAGTAATGCAGAATGAGAAAGAGATGATAGTCAGAGTTTTATTATGTCGAAAAGGCAATAAAATAAGTTTCCATAAAAGAAATCAATATATATATATACGATTAATCAAATACTAATTTCGTTAAAAGATATTATTCGATTCGCTTGAAAATTTTTCATTGAGATTATTTAAAAAATATAGTATATTTTGCGTTATAAAATAAACAGTTCTTCATATAAAGTATCCCTTTTATCATTATTATTCTTTTAATAAGATATGTTTCATTGGAACAAAATATTAATTTTTGTTTCTAGTATATGTAACTTAGAATTTTTATTTGCAATGGAAAGCACACAATTTTTCAACGACTGTGTTTATAAAAATTGTATGTAGATTGTAATGATCTACTAATGACTATGAGTGAAGTTGAATGTAAAGGCCGTTTAAAAGAGCATATTTATGTTGTGTATACTTAGATTGAAGTATTACCACTAGATACTGTTGACTACGATTGAATATTAAAAGTTGACGAAGATACGATGATATATCAGTCATTGCTCAAATTATTGAACAAGTCACTCAAATTGATAGAGTATCATCAAACGATCTTAAATGTTTATTGTCAGTAGGAAGCTTATAATAAAAAATATCTTTGTTCTCTTCATCTCAAAATCGTATTTCACTCTTTTACTCTATGCAATAGTATAAGATAACTCCAATCAATTAATTTATTTTGGTTTCAAATCAGAGTATATCAGAAATAAGAACATTAATATAAATGCTAGTTAAGAAGTTTCATAAATACATTTCAATGCATCTCTTATTCATGTCACTTAAAAAATAATGTTTTTCCAATTAGTCGGCGAAATAAAGCATATTTAAGTATTCCTATTATGTTAATCAATGCATTTATTACATGATATTATTATTAATGCATACTATGGACATATGTAACAATAAATTTTTGTTCTCTGTTCATTTAAACACGTACACATACACACATACCAGTACAATAGGTTGCTTGGAGCATAAAGGAATGGCATTTATGACTTCTCTATTAGTGATTCTGTAATCTTCAATACATGTCCTTGGTCGTTGGCAATGGGTATTGTTATTCTTAGAACAAAAAAAAATGAAGCTTTGCTATGTTGCTTTATGAATAATAATAGTTCACAGTTGATTGCTGTTCTTCTATTCACTCTATAGTAATTTTTCTACTACTTGTATACAAGGTCTCGTACTCTACACAGACAATGATAATTAATGTCAAGTGTCACAGCTGATGGTGCATCATTAGATATTTAGTGTCGGTGAACGATATATAAACGAGCCTTTGGTGGAGGAACAAGAAAAAGAATAATTTTGTCGGAATTATTTGAAGAAAAGTCAATTAGTAATGATAGCCAAGAAAAAAGTTTTGGTAAAGAAAACAACAATGAGAGTACTTTCTTTAATTGAATAAAAGACGTATGTTTTCAAACAATTGATGCAACACTTGAAATGCAATGGGATACCCGAAAAAAAAATGAAGGTTGTCGGTAACACATTTGAGAGTGGTATAATTTCTCTTTGTCGTAACAAACGAGAGAAAAAGCAAAGAGCAAGTAATAGTGCGAACGCAAAAAAGAGAGAATGAAGCAACAAACGTACAGTGTATTATATAGTACACATTCTGCATAGAGTAAAAAAGAGAGAAGAGTGGAATCCATTGCTTTCTTTCTTCTTCGCATTTTCTCTCTCTTTCATTGTGTCTTTAATCTTTTTCAATTTTTCATCGACAGCACTTCGGACTCGGATCACTTACAGTACCACTAACTTTTTTATCTCTTCTATCGTCTGCTCTAAGTTCACTTCTTCATTCAATAGAGCACATATTCAAGTGAAAGTAATGCTGAAGTGGGCGGTCACGCCGCGTTTTAACAGTGATTATTTTGAAAACGAAGGTATTAATAATAATCATGGTTGCGAACTGCTTACATTACAAGCAATTATTGACCAACACCGTCTTCCATGTCTTGTTCGACTTATTAGTGATGATATCAATGAATCAACTGATAATTATTGTTTATTACTTTGTCAAACAAATGATCCATATTTACTTGTTTCAAATGAAACTGAACGTTTTTCTATTCCAATGTCATTTGATGGTAAGTCTTTAAGAAAAAAGGAAAACATCAGATACAATTTTCGATCTCAATTCAAAAAGTCCAGTTTTTTCATGTTTGCATGTTTGTTGATTGCATGTGTTTCTTAAACTTGACACTTTTTTACATGAATTCAAAATAACTTGATACTCGGTTAATCGGCAAAGAAAAAAAATGGAAAGATGATTCTTAGTCATACATTTCGATCAATCTAGACAGATTTTTTTTACCATTTGACTGATGAATCATTATTGATTCAAGATATTTATTAAGTATAATCATGTTTTGATGTCAACTTATGGAGGAATTATAGTTTTGATGTCTTTTTTCTCTACAAATATGTAAGCTTCTGTTAGAAAAATATGCTTAAAGTATGAAACAGTCAAGAGAAAAGTATGTAATACATGAAACAATGTAACCTCTACTAAATATTCAAAAAAAATAAATAAATAACTCATAAGTATAAAATGAACTAGTTTTAGGACACGATAATGAAATAAATAAAAAAAAAACAAATAATAATCAAATATAAAAGCTCCTATCGTAAATCTCATATACAGACGATATTTTATTAGTCTTGTCTTATATCCTATTTATTTCTTTATTTTAATATAGGCCTTTTTGCTCCAGTCGAAAAAGGTGTTACTCGATATAATATTCTTGAATCAGTACGCGCTTTACGATCTCATCTAAAATCTCATCCGTCTTCGTCGTCAGGATTTTCATATTTTACTGTTTTACAACCATGTATGGCATATAGTAATTCAGCTTTGCGTCGTATTCGTCCTGGTACTATTCTTGAACCGTGTCATACATCAATAATATCATCTAGATCTCCATCGCCATCAGTTTCATCATCATCAACCTCATCATCAAATCGTTTACGTACACTTTTTGCTAATCTTCCACATACAATTAATAAACATCTTTTACCACAACATCAACAATCACGTGCATTTAAAAACCAAATACCACCAAGTGATTACCTCAAAGTTAAATCAATTCAACATGATGAAAGTTTTTGTTTGAAATCTGATTCAATTGGTGTATTTGTTCCTGTACATACAGAATTACCATCAAATAATTCTCATCGTCGAGCCTCTCTTTTATCTCATTCATCTCCATTTTCATCATCATCATCTTCAAATCAAATTCAAGGTTTATATTCAGTTGAACTATTAAGTAAATTGACTCATCAATATCCACTTATAACAGAACTTGTTATAAGTCGAACATTAGAAGAAAATGTACCAACAACTGTTGGATATCCATTTCGTCGATTAACATTACATCGCCTTTTTGAAAAACATACACGTATTGTTGCATTTGATATGAAAAATTATGCTTTTCTTGAACTTGATGCAATCCATCCAATGGATCTTTATGTATTTGAACCTGAAGATGCACTTTTTCAACGTTATCAAGCACAATTACGTTGGTGTGAGTCACACATATCTTCATTTCGTTCACAAATAAAAACAATTGTACATTCATCACATGGTACACCAACATTTGTTCAAGCCACACCTCTTCATGGTCAACAACTTCAACAATATCATCAACGTCGTGATTCATCATCATCAATTGTTTCACCACTTACTAAACATATGCCACAAACAATATTTACATCACAAGAATCGATTTCATCAATTCGTTCACGTACTCGTACTCCATCATCATCAAAATTTAATACAACATCAATTCCCTCGAAACAAGAACAACAACAACAACAAAAAGGTAAAACAACTGGATCTGGTGGAACAGCAAGAAAAGATGTAAGAGTTTATTTTAATGATCCAACTATTCAAAAACGTCTACAAGTTACATCATTAACATCAACAACACGACCAATGATTAAACAAACATCGTTTAATACAAAGCATTCTAACTATCGAACAAATAGTACTGAAAGTGATAGTGTTGATGGTGATGAAGACAATGAAGATTCATATCAATGTACACCATTATAAACTATTTAAAAGACATTTCACATGTATTATGTACACAGTTGATTGTTTTGTTTGTTGTCATATTTAAAAGAGAAAAAAAAACCTAGCACTAAATACTTGCATCATAAACTTTTTAATGTCATAAAATGAGAATCAATTTATGTATTATTTGTAACTTAATTACATTTTTCAATCATCCGAATTAAATATATCGATGTTAAATTATTGATGAGACGGGACAGCATGTGTGTTTGCCTTATCATCTATGCAATTCTATCTCACATTTCACTGGCGCAGCATAGAGAATTGAATTGCATAATAAAAATCAGATCATATCCGATATCTATTGCTCAATTTAGATAAAAGACGTTATGATTACTGTTATTTGATTTCTATTAGTCTCTTGCTTATTTGTTTTATATAGTTTACAAGATATATGTTGCTTAATTCTAAGACTTTCTAATTAATAGTTGAATAAAATCTTCTATATTATATGTACTCCTGTATGTCTCTAAATTTACTTTTTTTTTGTATTATATGATGTAAAATAATAATGGAATTCTAACAAGTCGTGCTTCAATACAACAGTCTATTCAATTAGTTTCATTTATCTATTTTTTTTGTTTGAAAGAATACAATATAGAAAATGTATTGCCTAGTACAATAAAATTGTTTCTTTGAATAAAAATAGTAAGATAAAACTAGTTAATTTGACATTAAAGAAATGTGTTACAAAGCCAAGAACAAACGATTTGATGTAAAATATCATCTTCGCGCGTGACATGAATAAAGCAAACATATCATTATATAAATCGTGTAAAGTTCGAATCAAGATGTACCTTTCAAGATATTTCTTTCAGTAGGAATTTCTCAGAAACTAAGTCAGTTGTTCAGTTTAAAAAGATTTCATTAGATAAATGAATCAATTAGCTAAAAACATTTATAAATATAATATTCTATATACCATGCAATTATCATTTATAAATAACTATAACTAACAAAACGTCTCCGATAGATATTTTGCATATGTTTACCATAGTAAAGCATAAATCATATTAGATTTTATTATTCTATTTCTTATGTACATCCTTTTGAAACTCAAACTTATTTAAGATGCCAGTTATAATTTATTTGATTAGTAACTAATATCAATTAATTTGAATATTGAAACTACTTTTCGTAGACATTAAAAACTAGTCAAGAGAATGTGTTTTTTTGCATCAAATTTATCTCATACAAGTCCTTGTCAAAATAACATTAATCCATTCATAGATAAATACACTGATCCCATCGTCTACAGCTTTTACATCATTATCAAACTTGTATTATACTAACGAATGAAGAAAAAATGAAGAAAAAAAGCGATGCTTCTAATAAAAGCTGATAAAGAATAGACCTATGAAAGCTCTAGCTAAGACATTCAGATTATAATAAGCTAAAGAAATGTGGAAACAGTTTCTTGTGAAAGGAATTGATTTGATTGAACAGCTCTCTTTCTTTTACTATATGATCGTTTTGATAGAGCCTTTTCATAACAACTGAACTTGGTAAACATTGTTCTAGTAAGACCTAATCGATTCAAAGTTAGCAAGCTAGCTCGAACGTTTCCAAAAGTACTTCAAGCTGATACCTATGGATTTTTAAAGGGTAGTTGTAGGTGCTGCAAGAAACTTTTTGAACTATACCATAGAATTGAAAAAGTTACATGTAGCATTTCGAATATGGAAGAAACTGCAAGGTTGTGTGGTTGTGGAAATTTCATGAAGTGCAAACAACGTCTCATACAGTTTCTTTTAGTGTTTCAGTCTCTTACCGAGCTCCTTGAAATCTTATTAGATTTTCTGAATTTTCAAAAAGTCTCTTGAAATTTATATAGTTTTATAAAGTTCTGCCAAGCTTATTGGAAATTTCCAAAATCTGTTGGGATCTCGTGGTCTAAAATTTCTCTTCTGAAAAGAACTACCCTCAGAAAATTCCAATGGACACACCGAGGTGGTCTATTAAAAAGCTTCAGTAATCACTGAAGTATGTTTACAAAAATTTGAAAGTATCAATCTGCGACAGCTAGTAAAAATCTGTAGCTAACCTACTGACTTGAAATCAATCTTGTTTTATCAGAAAACTGTTCAAACCTTCGAGTTATTATGAAAAGATCTATTCCAAATGATCAGCTTGTCATGTTAACTATTTGATCAGTTCAGTTTCTTAAAACGAAACTATTACCGACTTATTATACTCGTGGTGAAGATTAATTACACACAAAAAAAACGAAACAATAGTCTTCTGTCTTCGAACCAATTATTATAGAAAATCTCAATTTGAAAACTCTTGTTATAACATGTTTTTTTTAATAATCAGACGATATTCGACATATGTCCATTAATAATAAAACCGATACTAAAAATACCAGGGAAATTTTACCTATACAAATCTAAACGATATTCAATAATGTATGTCTTGAGAACAAATTTCAAGCTACTCTTCTTAGTTCAATACACTGAGAATGAATTATATTTACAAGATTTCCTCGTCACTGATTTTGACAAATGATAATTCATTTTTTCATAATTGTAGTACAAAACTAGTGGATATGTTCTTTCTTAATGACTTGTCTTTGCTATATAATTTTAATTTATCATGTGTACTACTTGGACACATTAGCATAAAAAAAGAAGTTCATTCCAAATAGTATATCTTCTTTTATAGTCGACGGCACTCTTATCACAGTGAAGGTTCTGTTAGCATTATAATTATTCTCAAATGTATTCATATGGACATGATACTTTCATGTCAATTTACATTACGTTGTCTTGAAAAAAAAGAAGATTTGTACTATCATATTCTATAATTTTCTATATAATTCCAATCAGACTTAGAAAAACAACTAATTAAGAAAGATCAGTCTTTATATTATTCTAAATCATACCAGACTTAACTATTTAGTACTGATAGTTTAGTATTATTAACAATATTTGTAGTATTGTTCTTTTAGTTTAAGCTTTTCTTCATAATTAGAAAGGTGAATTTCACTGAGAAGCCTTTGCCTAATCATCTAAACAATATACAAAAATATATTATTCGAGTTCTATTTACTACAATATATATACGATTAAAAATTTGGGTAATTTAGTTAATACAGTTGTAGTATTTTCAAGATTCGCTTACATCATAGAGGTGTTTATGGTATTCCATTAGTGTCACTTCATGTCATCCTCTCTATGTAAACATGAGATGCTTTACACGAATTATTTGAGCATGGACTTGATAGAAATTGAGTCTAAAATCAGCTGAATTTTGTAAAATTCATGTTGTCATTGTTTTATGTGGATCTATTATTTGTTAGTAATTAGTTTATGTGACCTTAATCCATCAATGAATAATCACTTCAAGAAATATACCCATGTGTTAACAAAGTTCATCTAAAGTAATCTGAAGATGAGTCGTTGGAATTGTTTTGTTTATAATTGTTATTAACGTATTTGAATCTCTTGGATGTGCAATAAACAAGACTCCATGTAGTGTATAATCATGCATACATTCAATTTATACAGTTTTTATATAATTTATAAAACTGAATTATCTCTTACTCATCGCTTGATATTGATTATATACAGTATTCTTATCTTTATTAGCATTTGGCAAAACTCATCATCATCAAGGTCTCCGACAACACATAGTGTCAATCAAAAAAAAACAACATCAACTATTTGCTTGTGGACTCCTCAGAATGACGTAGAGATCATTCAATTGTTAATTATACACATAGTTACTTATATTCTTTTCGATGGTCTTCATAATTATAATTCATTTTATAGATGTATGCAACAAAACCTTAACAATATTACCGATTAATGAGCTACTGAAGGCATTTTACATCTATTTGCATTAGATCTTTATTGCCCTTATGAAGCAATGAATTATTCTTTCTTCGTAAGCAATTATAAATTTCGATCAATTATTTAACAATGGTTCAAATTACTCAAGACTGATTATTTCATTGATATGATTTACACAAACAAACCCAACCTAAACATTCTTATTAATGTACTTCATTAACTTATTATTTTTTATTGAATATAGGTCATTAATAAAATATGAAACAGGTTTTGTGTTTATACTTTTGATTTGTTATAAGTTGAAGAAACCTTTAAAAAACTACTTTTAAGTGCTAGATAATAGTAATCAAAGTTACATGTGAAGAGAGATAAAATTTTTAAGACTCGAGCTTTCAGATTTATAATACTATAAACAATAGTTTTTAGACATAATGTTGGAGTAAACATACAAAAATTTCTTTACAACCATCTTTAACAAAGTTGGATAGAATTGATATCTAATTTGCATGATCGAAATTCATGGAAAAGATTAATTATAAAGGTATTTTCAATACTTTTAGAATAAGTCATGTGTAAAAGTCAAAGTTTCTTTTTAGCTTCGTTGGTTTTGTTAATTATATTTATCGATACTCAGAAAGACACTCGAGCGAAGGGAATAATCTGACAAAAGAAATCAAATTGATCATTCTTTTAATATTTCCTTCCTGTCCTATGTTCATGTCAACGTGCATCATCAATAGAATAAGAATAGGATATTACTAATTTGAATTACTGTCCAAGTCTCAAACGTAAAATAATTACAAAAAAGAAAAATCCTTGAATACAAAAATGTCGAAAACACCGATTTCAAATGAATAGAATCTTGGCATAGCAATAATTCGGAATATAGAACTGAACGTTGTCGAAAAAAAATTTCGAAATATAATCTCTTACTCTGTCATTATTTGATCTTTTTGCCGTAGACAATCTAATTCATGGAAAACTTATCTATCATCTTTTCATCGTTCGTTCTTATGCTTTGTATACACAAAACTGATGATTTTTTTTCCTTCATTTCCTCTTTGTTGGAAATCGTGCATTATACACAAACTATTTACATGCATTTGTTTCTTATCGATCCCGTTCTATAAAGACAAGCTTCGTTTGCGTACTTAGTGCCTTTTGTCATTTTATTACATAGCAAAC